GGCTGTATCAGCTTCTTCATTACCTCTTATACCCACGTGGCCTGGGACCCAACAGAACTTCACAAAAAAATTTCTCGTAGTGAGATGACAAATTAGTTTTCGAATTTTAATAACTATGGAGTGAGAACTACGTTCATACGAGATCAAAGCCTGAAGTGCACTAACTGAGTCAGTGTAAATCACGCAGCAACGATGACCTTTCCGATTTATATACTTTAAGGCTAAATAAATAGCCTGCAACTCCGCAGAAAAGATGGAAGAATTCGGTGCTATTTGTTCTGCCACAATTTCATCCTGGCAAACAAAGGCTAAGCCAACATAGTTATCCGATTTAGATCCATCGGTGTATATAGGAATTAAATTCCTGTTACGATGCTGAATTTCTGCGAAGTGCTGTCTATAGACGTAGTCTGGCGTGGTTTCTTTAGGGAACTGCTTTAAGCTTAAATCAACATCGATCGGTGAAGATGACCAAGGTGAAATACTATTAACCTCAACATGTGAGATGTTGCTTGTGTCTAGGTCAATCGTGCTGCTTACATTCTCCATTCTTATGTCGAATGTGGGGACACAACTCGTCCGAGCGGCAAATAATCTTTTCAGCTGAGTATCTGAACAATCAGCTGTAAGTTTTTTCTGAGATTTTTGTTTAATGTAATAGAAGAGAGACAACTGTTCTCTCCTGAGAGAGAGTGAAGGCTCATAAGCATCCACATACAAACTTTGAACAGGGGAAGTTCGAAATGCACCGGTGCACAAACGCAAAGCTTGATGGTGGATTGGATCCAGCATCCGAAGAGTAGATTCTCGCGCAGAGCCATAAACAATGCAACCGTAGTCCAGCTTAGAGCGAACAAGGGCCCTATAAATCCTGAGCATCGAAACTTTGTCTGCTCCCCAGGATGAGCAGCATAGTACCTTTAAAAGGTTTAAAGATTTTAAACATCTACTCTTCAGGTTGCGCAAGTGTGGCAAAAATGTCAGTTTTTGGTCAAAAGAAACACCCAAAAACTTAGCCTCATTCACCATTGGAATTTTATCCCCATTTAGGTAAATTTCTGGATCCAGGTGCAAACCACGCCTTCGGCAAAAGTGGATGCACGAGGTCTTCTCTATGTTGAAACTAAAACCATTAATCTTGGACCAATTGTCTATTCGATTTAGGGAGGTTTGCAGTTGTCTCTCAATGAAACTCATGTTGCTAGACTGGCAGGAGATCTGAAAGTCATCCACATACAAAGAGTGTTTCACACTGGGAGGAAGACAGTTAGCTATGCTATTAATTTTAATTAGGAACAGAGTCACACTCAAAATACATCCTTGAGGAACACCTTCTTCTTGGACAAAAGACCTAGATAGAGTGTTGCCCATCCTGACTTGGAATCTTCGATTCTGCAAAAAGTTTTTTATAAAAATTGGCAAATTACCCCGCAATCCGAATTCATGTAGATCACGAAGTATTCCGTAACGCCAGCAGCGATCATAGGCCTTCTCTATATCAAAGAATACAGACACTAAGTGTTGTCGTCTAACAAACGCTTCGCGTATGGATGTTTCAAGTTTTACTAGATTATCCGTGGTACTTCTGTTCCTACGAAATCCACTCTGATGTGGTGAAAAGTAGTTCTTTTCCTCTAAGAGATACATCAGACGTCTGTTTATCATCCTCTCAAAAAGTTTACACAGGCAACTTGTCAGAGAGATTGGTCTGTAATTAGAGGGATTCTTGCGGTCTTTACCAGGTTTTGGAATAGGGATAATAATTGATAATCTCCAAGAGTCAGGGAAATTATTTTCTGTCCATATTCTGTTAAACAGGTGCAAGAGATTAGAAAGGGAACTGTTTGACAGATTTTTAATCATGCTGTAGTGGATTTTATCTGGGCCTACAGCACTATTCCTCGAGCGAGAGAGCGCTGTTTGTAATTCAATTCTAGTGAATGGCACATTATATTCCTCATTAGATAAGGAATGAAAGTTTAAACACTGTTTTTCTCTTTGGGCTTTATAAGCCTGAAAATTTCTTGAATACATAATATTGCTAGATGAAGTAGAAAACGTTTCACCCAACGTATCAGCAATACCCTGTATATTGCTGATTATTGTGCCATTATTTTCCAGCATGGACAGAGAGTGAGAAGCATATTTCCCATTGATTTTATGAATTTTATCCCAGACTGCTTTTGAGCTAGTGGAAGATGTTATGCTAGAAACATACTTCCTCCAAGAATCCCTTTGGCTTTGCCTTCTTATTCTTCTGGCATTTGCCTTTGCTTTTTTAAAAGCAATCAAATTTCTAGCAGTGGGGTATCTTCTGAAAATCCCCCATGCTTTCTTTTGTGCTTTAAATGCTGCCTCGCAATTCTGGTTCCACCATGGTTTCGGATGCTTTGGATATCTTGTTGATGTCTTTCCCATTGTTTTCTCAGCTGCCTGAATAATACACAAAGTGACAATTTCAACTGCATCATTGATATCAGCAGTATTGACCATTTCCTCAGTGATGTTAGCCAAAGAGGAAAATGCAGGCCAATCTGCCGTTTCCAGTTTCCAGCGTGGTGGACGGGCTGTTTCACAGCTTTCTCTGCCTCGATATTTTAGAAATATTGGGAAGTGGTCACTAGAGAGTGGATTAGATCCAACCTCCCATGTAAATGCTGAAAACAGATTCGGAGTTGCTAATGATAGATCAATGGCAGTGAACGTTCTTGATGGGGCATGGAAGTATGTCACTTCTCCAGTATTAAATAGATACAGTTGGTGATTACCTATAAATCTCTCGATGGCTCTGCCTCGACGATTGATGTCAGGACTGCCCCACATAGGATTGTGACCATTGAAGTCACCCAGTAAAAGAAATGGTGTTGGTAGCTGTTCAACCAAAGTATCCAATTCATTCTCATTCACTCTGACATCTGGTGGCAAGTATATAGAACAAACTGTGACAGTTACTCCAATAGATATTCTAGCTGCCACGGCTTGCAAATTAGTGGTGATTTGTACCGGCAAGGATGGGATGTGATTTGAAACTACAATAGCCACACCTCCACTGGCACGGTTGTGGCTATCATCATCCTTGCGGTAAAGATTGAATCCTTTTAAAGAAATATTTTCTCCAGGTTTTAGATGAGTCTCCTGGAGTGCCACACAGAGAGATGAGGTAGATGACGTCAAGTGTTTAATGTCAGAGAAGTTGTTGCGGAAACCACGACAGTTCCATTGGATTATTTTATAATCCATTATGTGTTTGAGGCAGCATTTTTAGCAAGGTTGTCCCTCTTTAATTTCACAGGGGGTTTTTCTTTTGGAGGTGATGTTGGTGGTGTCACCCCCTTATTATTCTCTTCATCAGAGAAGTCAGAGAACTCGCTCATAGACTGAGTCTCTGATTTTTTAGTTTTAGACAGGGCTGCTTTTATTCTTTGTTTATTAAGTGGGTTCTTACTGGCTTTTTTGGAACCCACATTCCTAGTTGTTACCCCTGTTTTAGGTATGAGTGGTTTTGCTTTGTTATTCTCTTTTTCTGTTGCTTTGGTAGATGGTATCAGCAGACATTTTTCATGGCGAGTCAGAGATTCATCGGGTGAAACAGAAATGTCTGTCTGAACTCCACATGTCTTTGTGGATTTCAGAGCAGCAGCGAATGTCTTTTGTTTCACTGGTGTATTTAAGGTGACCATACGACGTGCCTCCGGGTAGGATATATTATTAATAGTCTTCAATCGCTGAATTTCTTTCTCTCTCTGCCATGAAGGGCATTTCCGAGAGTAGGCAGGATGAGCATCTTTGCAGTTCACACAGCATGGAGAACTTGTGCATTCATTACTCTCATGGTCTTCATTTCCACACTGTGCACATGCTTTTTTTCCTCTGCATGATGTTTGGGAGTGTCCAAACCGCTGACATTTAAAGCAACGTAGCGGGTTTGGGATGTATGGGCGAACTGGGCAACGGAGATATCCTGCCGCAACAGAAGATGGCAATGTTGGTTTGTTGAAAGTCAAAATAAGGTGTTTCGTTGGTATCAACTTGCCATCTCGACGGATTGAAATTCGTCGAACAGCAGTGACACCTTGGTCTGAAAGACCGATCTGAATATCCGATTCATCCTCAGACATCAGATCGCTTTCAGATATCACACCACGTGATGAGTTCAAATTTGTGTGTGGTGTGATGGTTACCATTATGTCTCCTAGAGACTTCATTTTCAGAAGCTTTGCTGACTGTTGAGGGGAGGCTGCTTCTACAAGTAGATCTCCTGACCTCAATTTTTGAATTTTTTTCAGATTCCCAACGGTCGATTCAAACAATTTTTGAATCAAAAAAGGGGAGCGTTTAGATAGGGGTGTTTCTCCCATGGCATGAACGATAAGGTAGGCTGGTGGTAATGCATCAGTACATGTTTTAGGTTTTAATGAATCCATATTTAGATTTTAAAATTCAGCTCCTAGTGACCCCACCCACCATGGGGCCCAACAAGGGGATGCCGTCACATGGGAGACTCCCATAGACCGTCACACCAGGGTTTCCCAGGAGCTATACCCTCACAATGCAGTCAAGAAGAGCACATCTTGTATGACATGTCCGCCCGGTCTGCATCGATCGGTTGACTCCAAGCCGAGGTCAAAACTGACTCAACGACCAGCCGATTGACTCAAACGGAGCCTGATTTGAGCCTCCCGTTTATCCGAAGCAGGGGCCAAAGCAGTGTGTTGGGGACGTTATGTTGCCCCTCAACTACCAGGATCCCCCTTTCCGGCATACGGGATACCACGCACGGCAAACACGTGGGTGGGCGTTCAGATCCCAGGGATGGTAAAGAGGCATTACTAAACCATCTCTGGGAGGTCCCCTCACCACGGACAGGAACCCACATCGAGGGGCAAAGGATACGAACGAGGAATCAAATTAAGCCTTACCAAGTGTATACTATTAACGTGTGAATTTTCTAGAAAAGGACATTAAGAAATTGTTGTAACTCGAAAATACTTTTCAAATATCTAAACAAGTAAATTGTAAGTTTCCTTATCCGAAGTAAGGTCTTGAGCATCACACAGCCAAGAACAATTTTTACTGGTTAGAAAAGTGCATAACTGATATCTTTCAATCTCAGTTATGGGGCATTCAAAAATATAATGGAAACTACTGTCAATGGTGTTGCAAACAGGACATAGACTGTTATTATGCAAGGTAAAGCAAGCAAGATATGAATTAAAACAACCATGACCAGTGTAAAACTGTATAGAATGATGAGTAACTTCAATCCAAGTGTTCTTCAAAAATTTCAATATATCAGAAAAAAACTGTTTCGTAACTGAAGTGTTGGCATCCCAACTATGCTGCCACTCAACAAGCAAATCGTTCCAAAGGACCTCTTTCAGCATTTTTATTGAAATCATATTGTAACTGATAGAGATGTTCTGGTCAGCAGCCGCCATTTTAGCAAGTTGATCCGCCCGATCATTGCCGTAGTCATTACAATGTGATCTCGTCCAATTAAAATAATACTCATTATCAGACTCAATCAACAGTCTTTGAATACTAAAGACCAGAGGATGAACAGACTTCCTCCGAATCGTAGAGAGAGAAGATAGTGAATCGGTAATGATTGCAATTTTGGCATTATTGAGAGCCCGTTCACACCACTCGATTGCCTGTAAAATAGCATATAACTCTGCTTGAAAAATGCTACAAAGTGGACCAAGTTTAAAAACATTATAGTAAATTTCAATATTGTTGCGAAAAGCAACGAAACTGGCACCAACATGACAGTCACACTTCGAACCATCGGTAAAAATTTTAATGGCACAACTAGTAGAAGCTTCGATAAATCTAATGTTAGTGTAAGGGCTAAAAGTGTCTTTATAAAAAGTATTTTTCTCCCAGCTTTCCTCAGTGAAGGAGTTTGACATAGAGGTAAGATGATTACCACATTTGACTTTCCAAATTTTTTGTAAGTAGTTAATATATTTATCAATAGGCGGCTTGCGAGCAAACACTTGCAAACTAGCATTAGCTGTTGTTCTGTATGCTTTTGTTATCATCAACAAAGCTCTACGTTGTGCCAAGATCAATTTGCGTTTTTGATGTACCTTAACTGCGGCAGAGCCCCAAATGCCACAGCCATAAGTGAGAACGGGTAGAAAAATGCTATCATATATCATTCCCATAGCCAGACTACTAAGGCCCCAAGATGACCTGGCAACCTTGGCAAAAGTGCGCATAATATGCCCTGTGTGTTTCGTAATATAATGAATATGGTTATTCCAGGACAGCCAATGGTCTAATAATATGCCAAGATAAAGTTCGGAACTTTCCCAAAGGTAAGGAAAGTCGCAAAACTTGTGATTATACCTAAGGGCGATAAGGTAGATAAGAGCTTAATTCTTCTGCTGCGACGACCGCGTTATCGCAGGATCACGTGACCACCTATTATTAATGAGATGCTGATACCGCAAAATCGCGTTTTTAATAAAAAAATTGAACAATTTGCGTTATATTCAAGTTTTCTTGCTATTTTAGCTATGATTCGCTCTTTTGTAGATCGATTGACTTTGTTTAAGCCAATAAGCATTTTGTTACCACCCCTGGGCCATAAATATTTCGGGAAAAACACTCCCCTACTATTTACAGTAAATCTTCGAAGTTAACTAGACAGTTGTTGAAAACAATCAAAGGGAAACTCCTTCTAAAGTTTTATTGGGTATCTTCTGTCTTTGTTGACATTACTGTAACTAATGAGAGACTTGTGAAAAGTTGGTTGGTTGGTTAGTTAATTTTTATTGGCACAAAAGCCATGCAAGCTATACTGCGCCATGACACATGGTATGATTGAAGGTACAAAATACAGTAAATAGGAAAACACATATATACCAAACAGTTTAACCATTAAAAGGCCAATGGTAATATATATATATAATCTAAAATATAATAAATAAATAAATAAACAACAAAAAATATATACAATAATTTAAATATGCACCATGAAGTAAATAAAACTATACAATAATAAAATCATCATATTTCTCTATACATATTAATGACTTTCAGAAAGTCCAGTATATTATCCAGATTTGGCCTCTGGCCCAAAATGTCTCTAAAGCTTGCATTTCCGAAATGCTGTCTACGAATCTGATCAAAAGCAACACAGTTGCAAAATATGTGTTTAACACTTACAGCACAGTTGCAGTGCTGACATACTGGTTCGTCATCTCCCTTCAAAAGGTATTGATGAGTCAGTCGAGTGTGTCCAATTCTCAAACGAGTAAGGATAACCTCAGATCTCCTATCATATTGCCTATTATGTGTCCAATTTTCTACCAAAGGTTTGATCTCGTGAAGTTTATTGTGGATTTGTGCATTCCACACGTTTTGCCATCTCTCTGCTAGTCGTTTTTTAACGACTAGCTTCAAATCACCTCCTTCAATACGCATTGTATGCTGTGAAGGACTTGCTGACTTAGCAGCTGTATCAGCTTCTTCATTACCTCTTATACCCACGTGGCCTGGGACCCAACAGAACTTCACAAAAAAATTTCTCGTAGTGAGATGACAAATTAGTTTTCGAATTTTAATAACTATGGAGTGAGAACTACGTTCATACGAGATCAAAGCCTGAAGTGCACTAACTGAGTCAGTGTAAATCACGCAGCAACGATGACCTTTCCGATTTATATACTTTAAGGCTAAATAAATAGCCTGCAACTCCGCAGAAAAGATGGAAGAATTCGGTGCTATTTGTTCTGCCACAATTTCATCCTGGCAAACAAAGGCTAAGCCAACATAGTTATCCGATTTAGATCCATCGGTGTATATAGGAATTAAATTCCTGTTACGATGCTGAATTTCTGCGAAGTGCTGTCTATAGACGTAGTCTGGCGTGGTTTCTTTAGGGAACTGCTTTAAGCTTAAATCAACATCGATCGGTGAAGATGACCAAGGTGAAATACTATTAACCTCAACATGTGAGATGTTGCTTGTGTCTAGGTCAATCGTGCTGCTTACATTCTCCATTCTTATGTCGAATGTGGGGACACAACTCGTCCGAGCGGCAAATAATCTTTTCAGCTGAGTATCTGAACAATCAGCTGTAAGTTTTTTCTGAGATTTTTGTTTAATGTAATAGAAGAGAGACAACTGTTCTCTCCTGAGAGAGAGTGAAGGCTCATAAGCATCCACATACAAACTTTGAACAGGGGAAGTTCGAAATGCACCGGTGCACAAACGCAAAGCTTGATGGTGGATTGGATCCAGCATCCGAAGAGTAGATTCTCGCGCAGAGCCATAAACAATGCAACCGTAGTCCAGCTTAGAGCGGACAACGGCCCTATAAATCCTGAGCATCAAAACTTTGTGTGCTCCCCAGGATGAGCAGCATAGTATCTTTAAAAGGTTTAGGGATGTTAAACATCTACTCTTCAGGTTGCGCAAGTGTGGCAAAAATGTCAGTTTTTGGTCGAAATGAACACCCAAAAACTTAGCCTCATTCACCATTAGAATTTTATCCCCGTTTAGGTAAATTTCCGGATCCAAATGCATACCACGCCTTCGGCAAAAGTGGATGCATGATGTCTTCTCTGTATTAAAAGTAAAACCATTGGTCTTGGACCAGTTGTCTATGCGATTTAGGGAGGTTTGCAGTTGTCTCTCAATGAAACTCATATTACTAGACTGGCAGGAGATCTGAAAATCATCCACGTACAAAGAGTGTTTTACACTAGGAGGAAGACAGTTAGCTATGCTGTTGATTTTGATTAGGAACATAGTCACACTCAAAATACAGCCTTGAGGGACACCTTCTTCTTGCGTGAAAGGTCTAGATAAAGTGTTGCCAATCCTGACTTGAAATCTTCGATTCTGCACGAAGTTTTTTATAAAAGCTGGCAAATTACCACACAATCCAAATTTGTGCAAATCACAAAGTATTCCATATCGCCAGCAGCGATCGTAGGCCTTCTCTATATCAAAAAATACAGATACTAAGTGCTGTCGTCTAACAAATGCTTCGCGTACAGATGTTTCAAGGTTTACTAAATTGTCCGTGGAACTTCTGTTCCTACGAAATCCACTCTGGTGTAATAAAAAGTAGTTCTTTTCCTCTAGGAGAAACATCAGGCGTCTGTTTACCATCCTCTCTAGGAGTTTACAAAGACAACCTGTCAGAGAGATTGGTCTGTAATTAGAGGGATTCCTGCAATCTTTGCCTGGCTTGGGAATGGGAATAATGATAGATTGCCTCCAAGAGTCGGGGAAAGTTTGTTCTATCCATATTCTGTTAAACAGATTCAAAAGATTAGAAAGGGAATTATTTGACAGATTTTTAATCATGCTATAGTGGATTTTATCCGGGCCTACAGCAGTATTCCCTGAGCGAGAAATCGCTGTATGTAGTTCTGTGCTGGTGAATGGCACATTATATTCCTCATTAAATGAAAAATGAAAATTTAAATTTTGTTTTTCTCTTTCTGCTTTATAAGCTTGAAAATTCCTTGGATACATAATATTGCTGGATGAAGCAGAAAATGTTTCACCCAGTAAATCAGCAATAGCCTGTATATTGCTGATTATTGTGCCATTATTTTCCAGCATGGACACAGAGTGAGAAGCATATTTCCCATTAATTTTATGGATTTTATCCCAGACTGCTTTTCAGCTAGTGGAAGATGTTATGCTAGAAACATACTTCCTCCAAGAATCCCTTTCGCTTTGCCTTCTTATTTTTCTGGCGTTTGCCTTTGCTTTTTTAAAAGCTATCAAATTTTCAGCAGTGGGGTATCTTCTAAAAATCCCCCATGCTTTCTTTTGTGCTTTAAATGCTGCCTCGCAATTTTGGTTCCACCATGGTTTCGGATGTTTTGGGTATCTTGTTGATGTCTTTCCCATTGTTTTCTCAGCTGCCTGAATAATACACAAAGTGACAACTTCAACTGCATCATTGATATCAGCAGTATTGACCATTTCCTCAGTGATGTTAGCCAAAGAGGAAAATGCAGGCCAATCTGCCATTTCCAGTTTCCAGCGTGGTGGACGGGCTGTTTCACAGCTTTCTCTGCCTTGGTATTTTAGAAATATTGGGAAGTGGTCACTAGAGAGTGGATTACATCCAACCTCCCATGTAAATGCTGAAAACAGAGTCGGAGTTGCTAATGACAGATCAATGGCAGTGAACGTTCTTGATGGGGCATGGAAGTATGTCACTTCCTCCGTATTAAATAAATATAGTTGCTGATTGCCTATGAATCTTTCAATGGCTCTGCCTCGCCGGTTGATGTCCGGACTGCCCCACATTGGATTGTGGCCATTGAAATCGCCCAGTAAGAGGAATGGAGTTGGCAGCTGTTCAACTAATGAGTTCAGTTCATCTTCGTTGACTCTGACATCTGGTGGCAAGTATATAGAACAAACTGTGACAGTCACTCCAACAGAAATTCTGACTGCCACAGCTTGCAAATCAGTTGTTATTTGTACCGGCAAGGATGGGATGTGATTTGAAACTACAATAGCCACACCGCCACTGGCACGGTTGTGGCTATCATCATCCTTGCGGTAGAGATTGAATCCTTTTAAAGTAATTCTTTCTCCAGGTTTCAGATGGGTTTCCTGGAGTGCCACGCAGAGAGATGAGGTAGATGATGTCAAGTGTTTAATGTCAGAGAAGTTGTTGCGAAAACCACGACAGTTCCATTGGATTATTTTATAATCCATTATGTGTTTGAGGCAGCATTCTTTGTGAAGGTATCCCTCTTTAGTTTTACGGCTGATTTGCCTTTTGGAGGTGAAGTTGGTGGTGTCACCTCCTTATTAGTCTCCTCGTCAGAGAAGTCAGAGAACTCACTCATAGACTGAGCCTCTGATCTCTTGGATTTGGAGATGGCTGCTTTTAATTTTTGTTTGTTGAGCGGGTTCTTAGCAGCCTTCTTGGAACCCACGTTTCTTGTCATTACCCCTGTTTTTGGTAGGGGTGTTTTGGCTTTCTTAATCTCCTTTTCTGATGTTTGGGTAGTTGGGAGAATTAAACATTTCGCATGGCGGGTAAGAGATTCACTAGGAGAGACAGAAATATCTGTTTGAACCCCACATGTCTTTGTGGATTTCAAAACAGCAGCAAATGTTTTCTGTCTCAAAGGTGCAGTTGAAGTGACCATACGACGAGCCTCTGGGTAGGGTATGTTGTTGACTGTTTTCACCCGTTGTATCTCCTTTTCTCTTTGCCATGCAGGGCATT